TGCGGCCGCAGCGGGGGGGGGTCAAGGAACGCTCGAGGTTTTCTTGTCGGGAGGCGACGACTTGCTGCTCGCCGCGAGCTCTGCGGCGCACGAGGCGTACGAAAGGGCGATCAAGCCCCTGAGCAAGAACGGCGGCGTGGTGGCGATCCTGGCGGCGATGGGGCTGAAGGAGGACTTCGCGTCGGCGGTGGTCGGCGGGGAGAGGGAGGCGGGGGCGATGGGCGAGAGGGAGAAGGCGGAAGCGTGTCGAGCGCGGGTGCTGAACCTGCTCTGCGAGGGAGAGGTGTTCGCGCTGGCCGGGTCTCGCTCCTAGCAATTGGGCGTTTTACGCATCAGGCGTAGCTTCTAGGCAGTGGTTGCCAGCGCGCTCCGGCTGGTTTGCGACGTCGGAGACGATGGCGGGGTTCGGGTATTCTTGCGGGAAAGAATCCGCAAAGACTTTTTCAACCTGGGTGGGGGGGGAGGGGGGGGAGTCTGGGGAGGTCAGGGGTTTTGGTAGTCGGAAGTTGTTGTTGTCCAGTACGGCGAGGGGGGCGTTTTTGCCGGCGTGTGTGTTAATTGTTCTTGGTTGTCCTCGGCGTGCCGAATTTTGTTGCTTGGCAGGCCCAAGGTTGTATCGGGGGGAGGGGGGCGTGAGAGAGACAGCTGGAGTGATGGGTCAGCGGTGCAAGTTTGCTCCAGCGCTTTTTTTTCCTTTCACTGTGCTGTTTTTGTTCTGATCTGGGAGGGGGGGGCGGAGTGTGTGTGTGTGTGTGTATGCTGAGCCGAACCGATAGTCGATGGGCGCACGATGAGTAAAAAGAGATTTCTGCGCTTTGGAAGCACGATGAAGCGAGTGTTCGTCATGATGGCTGCGTCCGCTGTACTTGTTTTAGGTTTTCATGGTGTTTGTCTTGTCTGGGGTTAAACGAGCCCTACGCGCTCGATACGAGAGTGCTACAGGCGATCGATTGCATGAATGAACATAGATGCTGCTTCGGAGATGCTGCTGCTGCTGCAGGCTGGTCTTCGCGGCGATCTTGCCCCCGCTTGCAGCTGTTCACGATTATAGATGAGCGTGTGTGTGTTTGTTTTATGCTTTCCTCCGTACTCCAAGCGCTGCTGCTGCTGCGAAGTTTTTGTTCGGTTAGCGAGAAACCCATGAGGTGTCTTGCTTGGACGCGGAGACCAGCACATGTGTACTACCATGTGTGTTGTGTTCTACAAAGGGGAGAGGTGGGGGTTGGTCATAGGGAGTACGTTGGGTTTGGGATGAGACGATGGGGGTACAACACATCGAGGTATATACTAGTCAAGCTTACCGTGCGCGCGGAGAGAGATAAGCAGGGTAGCAGCAGCAGATGAAAGTGAATGTGTGTGCGTGTAGCACCTGGGTTAAAAACTTACCACGTGGTATGGCGTTCTTGTTCTTGTCAGTCACTGGGCGGGCAAGATAAGAATTATTAAGTGTTTTGTGCACACACACGCGCGACTGCCTGCTGCCCGTCAAGCCAGAACTTCGTCTGCGCACTGCATGTCGTACGCCCGCACACGGGTGACCACCCCCCATTCCCCCCGACCGGAGCTCCGTCCTCTCGAGGATGCCGGTCAATGGTCTACCCACCAAGGCATGCAAAACAGGAGTACACGCCCCCCCCCCCCCCCCCCCAAG